CCTAGCAAGGTGGTGTTGTTGTGGCGCGTGTTGGAGTGCGTTCGCGCACACCGCCTGCGCCCTTCCTCATCTCCGGACTTCTCGACTTTTGTCTTGACATCGGGTTTAGGTGTAGGAGTGGTCAGAGAGTGGGGTGGACTCTCCGCAAGTCTACTTTCACTTTACTCCCACTGGAGTTCCCACGTTGCTTCAGCCTGTTGAAACTCGTAGTGGACATAGCCGAGAGCGACGGTCGAACTGTCGTATGTCCCTGATCACACTCTGCGGATGGCCCAGGCTTTCTTGCACGGCGGTCGTCCATAAGCTCAAACATGAAGCTTAGCCAGTCTGCCTGTGTATACGAGTTTAGTCCGCTGGTCTAATAGGCTTTGCTCTAAAAGCACTCTTGTACTCATTTTGTGACCAATTACGTCCCTTTAAAGTTCTTTTCTTGAAAGAGGCTAACGTTCGGGTTTGAAAAACTTTCGAAATTACCCTATAAGATTGAACCCCACCGGTCGTTACAACTTATTCCAAGGTTTCGCAATTTCATACTGCAAACATTCTGTTTTAAGGAAAAATCCTATGTTTTCCTACGATATTAGGAAGAAGTCACATTGTGGTGATGAAATATTGTAGCGGATGTGGTTCATGTTGCAAAATTTGTAGGCAGCATTTATAACTTGAAGGATACGATGTGTTAGGAATAAATATTTAATGGTCTTTTAAGAATATCATGATTAGAAAGCTTTTAGAGACCCCCTTTTAAGTTTAAAAGTTGAATGAGGCTTACATTTCTACTAAAGGAGTATTTGAATTTATGGTGGCATCGACAATTAATCGGAAAATTCCCACTACTTAAGTGGCCATTTTATAAAGAACACGCCTTTTTGCAAGCGGTCAAAAAGAAACTGGTTAAAAAGCCGACATTCTGACGTGACTGTAGTATCTCCAGATTACACTGCACGCTAATCAATATTAAAACCCCTAGGTAAGTGATTTGTTTGAATCAAAAACACACTTCAGAACTTGGGCTGACGTTTCATGAGAAAGGGAATCTGCTGTAAGCATTTCTGCAACAACAGATCTGGACTCACCAAGATTCTATACTGTCTAGTTCCCAGTCGTGATTATCTTCGCCGTAGAAAGATGTGATAGAGTAAGGTTCCGACTGCGTCTCCCGACTCTGGTCCACCGACCTCTTTAGGGCATTGATTCTTTCCGCGCCCAACCTCTGTTTAGCCAGAACACGGATGAGTTGCTTCCTACGCTTCGACAGTGACGCGCTCGTTTGTGTGCTCGTAACCGTCTTAGACGACGATTGGTCCGAATCCTTAAAATCAAAAGGTAAAATTTCAATGCAGGTGGAGGAACACTGCCTTATTTCAGTCAGGACAGAGTTTAAGGCAAAGGCTACTTTCTCAGAAGTCGACAGAAAAAAGGCTCATATAAAAAGACTAAAAACGGATGGTTTCTAGCATCCTACGAACTCGAACTGAATCACAGCCAGAAAAACTAGATTAATTCTGATTGCATTTGAATATCCATTTAACAGATTTTGAAAACTTTCATGTAATCCCTGGAAGTACAGAAATGAGGTAACTTCAACGAAGTTGGAAGATCAGAGAGATTTTAATGTAGTATAGGCAAATAGTATTGCCGGCAGACACAAGGTAGACTGGAATGGCCATTTCTGGTTTATTAGCCGTAGTCAGCCTGTCATACCCCAGACCCAAGTAGCGTCCTTCCCGAGTCTCGAAATCGCAATCTCTTTGATCAGAGTCAAACGCCCTAAATGTTGAGTTTCAATATCCCTCGACCTAAACCGACAAGACAAGCTCATGACTCAATGGTTAGGGCGTTTGACTCTGATAAAAACGATTGCAATTTCGAGGCTCGGGTGGG